CCTTTTGTACTTAAAGCCACTATAATGTTCCTAAGACTGCTTCTGTCAATGAATTTCTCTAATGCAGACAAGAGAGAAAAATTCACACAACAGTATTATGAAACTGGGGGGGGAAAAATGCACATTTCAAATAGGGCCTTGGTAGGACAAGACAATCCACAAGTGCCCATGAGCTCCAGGGCTGTAAAGATCCCAGGAGAGCCATCACATTTCAATTACCATCACTAACATTACCTATCATTTGGCCTGCTCCAGTCCCTAAGGAAGGCAGCTTGTGATGACAATACCCAGCCTCTTCTTGTAAAACAATTCATTAGGCAAAGCCGAACAGCTGGGGCAGCCACGTGCGAGTTCTTAAAGTGCCGCCCCACTGGGACCTCTGGCCCAGATTTCTCTTTTGGTGAGGAACAGCCACCACCCCTGTGACAGCTGTAGAGTCCTCCAGGGACACCTCAGGTTTAATCAGTACTTCCTGCACTGGAGAGGGCCATTTGATTTCTAACATAAACTAATGGCACTCCTGCTTTCAGCAGGTTACACCAGACATCAGATAAGAGGCTTTAGTGCATTTTTATCTTGTTCTAATGCTCCAGAGTTAATGAGGCAGCAAAAGATATTGTCATAGAGCCCCAGTATAGCTATATTATCCAATAAACAGACTCTTTCCAAGACAGGTTTAATATGGATCGAGGAGGTAAAGAGGGCTGGCTTAAGATTGATCCTATTGAGAGGATGAGAATCCAGTCACTGTAAGTAGGGCAAAATCATGCACATTCTACAGTAGACAAGGTCCTACAAGGAAAGTAAGGAGTCATCTTTACATATTAAGAGTAAAATGCTGATTTTTACCATTTCAAGCAGCATAAGTCTAAGAGATTTATTTGGCATTTTGGGCTAAGTTTTCAAAAAACGCTTCTAAATGAATCGACCTATTTTCATTTATTTTGCTGAAAAGTATTCTTAGGAGTTAGAGTTTTTTAAACAAGGCCAATACAAAAATGGCTTACTATATTAAGTACATAATATATAATTACATTAATATAATTATATTAATGTTAAATATATTATGTGATATATTGGTAAAAGATATTATAGTTTTTTTAATTTGCTATAAAGCAAATTTTATTATGCTAAACAGTACAGACAATATCACCAGAACCTACATCACAAAGGGCTTCAGAAATTCAACAATACTGATATGTCTATTATGATCAAGGCTATGGGAGACAAAGCGAAAATAAAAATCAGCCCTTAGATTCACCAGTCCAGGCTAAATGCATAAAAGAAAATTTTATTTAATCTTTAGTTTTTGTATCTTAGAATCTGTTTTGGTAAATATTCAGAAGTCAGAGAACCAAGCATTTCTCTTCTCCATAACTAGAGATATTTATAGCAGGTTCTACTCAGCATCTGCTGAGTAGATAGAAATATTAATAAGCTGACCATTAAAAACAGTCAATTTTAAAAGCTGATCATTTGAGTGGCTTGCCCCCTAAAGATGAAAAGGAGTCAAGATTTTCTAACGCTCACTTCCTTTGAAAAATAGCCAAAAGAAAAAACGTCTGTCCAATCTCTTTAAAGGACTTACATTCACACTGATTTAAGAGTACCAAACATACAATACAGTAAGGAAAACAGAATAAATCTTAACCTTTGCTTATAATTCACACAAGATAATCAACAAATTGTAAGAATGAAGTCCAATTCACAGATTAAAATCCATACACGCACCTCTAAAATCACGAATTCTGAGCTTTCTCAATGGAATTACATTCTTCTGCTTCTACCCACTGATCATTGCTTTTGCACAGGTCTCTTGTTCCCTATGGCAGAGAATGAGGGTGGCTTATCCCAATACCCATTCTCCCCTTCCTCCTTTTTAACAGAACTCCAACTTTTAGTAAGCAAAATTACAGTCCAGAATAAAAGATTACATTCTTCTGCAGCTAGGTTAGTCCAGATGACTAAGTTCTAAGTTCTAAGTGGGACTTCCAGGAAGACTACTTAAAGGGAAAGGAGTCAGTTGTGTCTGATGCCCTTTTTGCCCTTCTCCCTTCCCATTTTCTTCTGGCCTACAACTCAGGCTTGATGGCTAGAGCTCTAGCAGTCATCTTGGGCCATGAGGTATCCTTTAGATGGAAGCCATGCACTAAGAAAGTAGAGTAGGGGGCCGGCCCAGAGTTTTGCTGGTTTGGATCCTGGGTGGGGACATGGCACTGCTCATCGAGCCATCCTGAGGTGGCATCCCACATGCCACAACTAGAAGGACCCACAACTAAAATATACAACTATGTATTGGGGGGCTTTGGGGAGAAAAAGGAAAAATAAAATCTTAAAAAAAAAAAAAAGAAAGTAGAGTGGAAAGAAAGAAGCCTTAGTCATTGATACCACTGTGAAGCTACCCTGCTACTAGCCTGGCCCTATCTACCTCTAGACTTCCTTTTCGTGGAAAAAAAAATCTACTTTGTGTAAGCCTCAATTGTTTCAGATTTCTTATTATATATAGTTGAACCTCATCCTAATAGACCTGATATCCACAACTTTTTAGCCTATAACCCTGATAGTAGTTGAAATTATTCATTTCAATGATGACTTAATAATACTTTAGCAAACAGAACTTAAGTTTTATAATGCACACCCCCGTCCGCCCTAAACCGTATCCTCCTAGTCACAGGCGCTTAAAATCTTTAAATCATTTTGACTCTTGTGTCTCTCCTGTCTGTTACAATTTTATATCTATTTTTCCCTCCAAAATCTTTCTCATCTATCCCCTCCGTTGTATTCACACAGTCCTATCTAGTACAAACAGTTAGTGCATTCTCAGACTGCAACAGCTTCCCAGCTAGTCTCAGATCCATCACCTCATCCTTCACTTCTCTCTGGGGGTTGCTGTCAGACTTTTGAAAATGATTTCCTCAGCCTGGTCCTTCAGGCTTTCCATAAGCTAGCTTATCCTCACTTTTCCAACCACATTTTCTAATGCTCTAACTAATCCAATCCATACTCAAAAACTGCTTCCCAGTCCGCAGTGTTTTCCTTCCTCCTGTATGCAAATATCAGCCATTAAGTCTACTTCAATTTTTCATCTCTTCCAAGAGGTGTGCCTGAATTTTTTACCTCACTTTTTCCTCTTTAGGAATTTGTAGAATCCATGCTCAGAGAGCGAAGCAGGGTGTGAGATGGGCATGGTATGAGAAAGGCCAGATCACGCAGAGATATAAGGCCAAGTTAAGGTTTTTGCTTTTATCCTAAGAGCAATGGGAAGCCACTGATGGGTTTTAAGAAGTGAATGAGGTCACGTGTCAATTTGCATTTCACACGTATTACTCTGACTGTAGAGAGGAGCAGTTATTGGAGAAAAGATCAATTCTACAGCTAATTCAGTTAGGAGAAGGGGAGAATTCCAGAAATAGATTAAAGGAGCTTGATAAAGCAGGCCTGTGTAGATGGAGAACTTGAAACTCAATATTCTAGAGGAAAATGATAGCCATTTGAGTAAATGTATGTTTACCATAGAAAACACTGGTAAATATTCATTAAAAGAGCTGATGTGCAGAATTTAGTACTAAATGTTCTCCTATCAAGAATGTATTGACATTTACAATGCCTGAACCTTGACTAGATCTTGGTTAAAAAAAAAGTTACAAGAGATTTTTAGTGAAAATTGAGGAATTTTGAATGCGGAATGATATTAGATGTTTTGCAAATACTCTTCATTTTTCTTTGATGTCATTAGAGTATTATTATGTAGGAAATTGTCCTTATTTCTTACGAGATGTGTTCTGAAGTATTTAGGGGGTAAAGTGGCCATGTGCGAAACTTTCCAATAGTTCAAGGAGAAAAAAAAGTACACGAACACATACACACACACGTGTGTATGAAGGGAGGCTCACTGGGAACTTAAAAAATCTTCATAATGTACTAGTGGAAGAAAAGAAGACACTGAAATTTCTTCTTGAGTTAGTGAAGAGGGGCTTTTTTCCTGATCTATTAGTGGCATTTATTTACTTGATAATTTGAAATAAGTTATTTTTAACCTGCAGCTCCAAGGAAGTTTGGGATCTTAAAAAGTCAAACACCACATGAGGATTTTCACCCAACAATTATCCCTTATACAAGTAGTTAACCAATAGGTACACCAGTCTTCCCTTTAGTTTCAAGCCAGGTTACTCTTGGATTCATTCTAAGCCTGATTAAGGAGAGTGAGGAAGAAACTGACTGTCCTTTTTCAATCTGGAGACATGTTACTGAATCCTTCTCCAGCACCTATGTTTATTATACCTTTAATACAAAGTTATCAATCCCTGCTGTGGAGCCATTTCAGAGAATAGCATTTACATAAGTAGTATTCAAATAATCTTCTGTTGTGTTGCTTTTTTCTTTGTTAATACCATTATCCTCCAACACTGTGAGACTGTTGGCTAATTAAACCCTTGTTTTTACTGAAGTTGACAGGTGACAGCAACATTGTGAATTCTCAAGCATCTTATCCTCTTTGTTAAATTGTACCGCCACCTACTACTCTTTTAAACTACTTGGGAGAAGGTTCAGGGTTTGTTGCAAGGACGGTTTTGATTCTTGAGGGATCTGCCCGAATACAAACTGTACTAGAAGAAAAGTATATGTGTTGGTTTTTCTATCTATTTTAAAAGGGCTTCCCTTAACTTGAGTTTCTCTCACAATTGCTGTAAGGAAAGAAAACACTAGAAAAATCCTGAAGGATCTTTAAAGACAGGAATATCAAGAATTTCTGTTTTAAGACTCCCTTTCTCATGGCAAATGGTTGAGGACACACCACTTTAAGCAGTGAGGAAAGAACTGAGAATTAAGATACAGCAGATGTAGTTGTCATCAGAACTATAGCTGCCCCAGGGGCCAGTCCAGTGACATAGTGCTAAGTTTGCACATTCCACTTCCATGGCCCAGGGTTCGCAGGTTTGGATCCTGGGCATGGACCCACACATTGCTCATCAAGCCATGCTGTGGCAGCGTCCCACATACAAAATAGAGGAAGACTGGCAAAGATGTTAGCTCAGGGACAATCTTCCTCACACACACAAAAAAACCCCCAAAACTACAGCTACCCCACTCTTGAGGAGGAATGAACGTTCCAAAGAAGAAATCCTGCGTTTTAATTCTAAGAAAAGGAAAATGGAAAGATGAAAAAAGACCCAAGTTCAATTGTCAACAGTGATGGAAAGGGGAAATCATCTTAAAGGCATTGTATAAAATGAAGTTAGAAAGGATTTTTCACATCTACCATATCAGTATAAGTTGCATTTTCACTCAGGAAACAAGCATTGTCCATGTTGTATTTTCAACACAGTTATCCAACACAAAGTCATTTGACCTTAAACCAACCAACCAACCAACCAACAAACAAGGGAGGCCAAGGTCCAGTATCAATTCCTATCCCACCATTCCTAATCTCCCAGCAAGTTAATGCAAATCAAAGCAAGCACTTCAGTGCTGCTGGTAGTGAAGCCTGTTCCTTTCCCAAGAGAGGCCTGTAAAACAGGACAGTCACTGACAGCAGTACAATTACTGACACAGATACAGACTTTATGGACATGTTTATCTCTGCTGTAAATCCACACTCTCTCTCCACTCCGATTCACGAGTCATAAAGAAATTGCAGATAATGAAAAAGTTGGGGAAATTTACAGCATGTCGGAAACCTCAGACAGCCAGAAGAAATTAAAGAGCTGACTAGGGATAAATCACACAGGTACAATTAAAACTTCCTGCATACCTCCTTCATTTCCAAACTGAGGCACAATCCAATGGAGCTGATGAAAAGTTGAGGTCATGACTCCTCAGGTTGTAATCATTTCTTAACTAACTGCATGTTAAAAATTAGCCAATTCACAGGTCATGTGTAAATGCTGATTTCTTGCTGTTACTTTGATTTCCTTTGCTCTCCACTAGAAGCACCCACAGAGCAATTCTGTCTGTAAACAGGCCAAATTGCAACAAGCAATAAGTGAAAAGGTGATGTCCCCTCTCCCACTGCCATCTCTGTAGGTGCAGGACATTTTTTACCATCGCCACTGTGGACTGAGCATTAAAATGAGAAAGTGGAGCTACAATGGGTGAATGAAATTGAAGGTTTTTTCTTCCCCAATAAATAACCATTCTGAAGGTTTCATCTGATCTCTTTTCAACATTCCAAAGGAGATTTTAAGGGACTGATATGTTTGATACTAGAATAAGAATTACTTCTGGTGATACTTGTTTTTTGATAGTGGACTGAGTTAATGGTCCATACTCTGATGTAACCATCTCCATGGGAACTTAAATGTGGCATGGCTTTAGCTATACCACTGCCCTCAGCTACCCAACTTTTGTTTTTCACATTCTTCCAGTCACAAAGGCTACAGGGGAGGGGGGGGAGTGGAGAACAAAAAGGCAAAACACAACAAAACCCCAGACTTTACCAGAATTTCTAAGTGCTAATTAATGTGCAACTATTGTTTCAATAAAGTAAAACAAAAAATACCAAAGATAAGAAATAATGTTTATTTTTTAAATAATAAGGCTTAATAGAGCCCCACAATTAAAGACTAGAATATTATGTTAGTTAATTGTTGGCCCCTCTATCCTATAAGCCTATAAAGTCCTCTGTGAAGGAAAAAAGGGAAGAGTCTATCAAATGCTGCACTCTTCCATTTTCCTCAACTTATTCAGATGAAACTAGCAGGTTTAAAAGACATCAACCCAAACACTTACAAGATCTCTCTGGAAAGCAGAAATGCACAACACAGAGTTTAGCAACTAACTTCTATGTAACTGAACCAAACTAAGAGTGTTAACAAAGTTATACACAAGTCAATACTAATCTCTGTGCATCTCTATAGGGTGAAGCTTCAACCAAATTAGCTCTAATGATTTGGAAATTCTGAGCCCTGTCAAGAAATGAAGGTTAACAGGATTTTTTAGAGATATGGAGGACGCAACTGACATGGTTTCAATTTTGTTCCTATTTGACTCCTTGATGATTTGAGGTCCATTTTACACTTCAGAGAACCCAAATGTCATTTCCACTTTATATATTAAGATTTTATTCTCTATGGAATAAAAATAGTTCTAAGGAAACACTGAGAGCTTCAACCCAGGCATCACGACCATAAAAAACTTAGGTCCTACCTAGCTCATGGACCTCAATTCTATTCACCCACAAGCATAAGACATGATCTCTGATCTGCTTTTGCTTATAACAAAAAGTTCCTTAAGCTTTTAAGTGTCAGACTGGTGTCCAGTAACAAACAAGAACTGTTAAATAGAGGCAGAGTTTTATTTACAAGTTTCCAAGAGGGAAATCATATTTTATCAAATGAGTTTTTGAGTAAAGCCAAGACACATATCTACTGTTTTCATTCTAGGAGGCAATGATACCACGAGATTAAGAATCTGAAGACCTGGATTCTACTCCCAGTTTCACAGATAAGCAGGTGTGTCACTCTGGGCAAATCAATGAAGATCTCTGAACCTCAATTACCTCACCTGTTCAAAAAGGAATGGTAGAATAGTAGTGAGAGTTAAATGAGAAAACACATGCAAGAAACACAGCAGGCTCAAAAATGTTACTTGCCTTTCCCTCTTTGTGAGACATGATTCAGATTCCTGGTTCTGTCACTAATGAGCTGTGTACTCGTCACTAGGCAAGTCACCTAATATCTTTAGGCTTCTGTTTCCGCATCGGTAACATCAGAGGGTTGGGACTCAATGATCTCTAAAGATTTCCTTTCAGCTCTAACATGCTACGATTACCGATTCTGCCACTAAATTACTGTGTGACCCTGGGAAAGTCACTTCATTTCTTCGGACCTCAGTTTCCTCACCTTTAAATACTGGAAGATGAATCAATAGAAAAGTAGACAAAGACTATACTAAGAAATTCATAAAAGGAGGAAAAACAAATGGCCAGTAAAAATAATTTTATTAGCAATTAAAGAAATGGATATAAAAAATACTGAAACAGGGGCCAGGCAGGTGGCGCAGCGGTTAAGTGCGCACGTTGGCACCCGGGATTCGCCAGTTCGGATCCCCGGTGCGGACATGGCACCGCTTGGTAAGCCACAGTGTGGTAGGCGTCCCACATATAAAGTAGAGGAAAGTGGGCATGGATGTTAGCTCAGGGCTAATCGTCCTCAAAAAATAAATAAATAAAAATAAAAAATAAAAAAAATTTAAACAACAAAAAAAGATTTAAAAAATACTGAAATATAATTTTTCATCTACAAAATGGACAAGTATTAAAAAGTTTAACAATATGCAGGGTTGGCTAAGATGTAGGAATACATGTACTTTCATTTACTGTTGTTAAAATTATAATTTGGACAAGTCTTCGTGGAGGTCACTTTGGCAGTATGTGTAAACAATTTTACATGTGCAATTCACTTTGATGTAGAGCAGAAGAGGCTCATCACAGCATGACTTACTTCACTGAAACACTGGAAACAACCTAAATGTCCATTAAGAGAGAATTAAGGAAACACATCATTAATAATCACACAACGGTATTCTGCACGGTCATAAAACTGATGATTTTGCTAGGCTTGCATGGGTATTGAAAGATGTTCACAACGCACTAAGTCAAAAAAGCAGGTTGTAGAACAGGAATGGCATGATGCCACGTACATAAAATTTACGTGTATATGCATATATATGTGTATGCATGTATGCACGTGTGCATAATACCTCTTAGAAAGAAATGTTTGGAGGATTTGGAGGAGTGTTCATCAAAATGTTAAAAATGACCACTACTTTGAGATCCTGTAATTTTGGGTGATTTTTGCTTTCTTTATATTTTCTGCAATGAATATGTATTGTTTTACAATGGCAAAAAAATAAAGCTCATATTTAACTTTTAAAAATATATATTACAAAAAAGATTCTATGACTCTTTAACAATTCTTTTCAGTTAGATAAGCAATATCTCTTGTTCTCGTCTTTCACAGAAAACATGTGGACAGCTGCATCAGTAGCGCTACATTGTACTCCTTTACTTAGACCTGTGCTAAGCACTTTACACTTACCATTTCTAATCTCTACAATGCTATAAGAGCATTTTTATTCTAAAGAAAACAGCAGGGCTTTTACATTTTAGAATCTGTTTTCTCCCACATTAGATGTTATTTTGAAAGGAGGGAGAAACCCCTCCTTAAGAGATCCTTAAGACCAGAAAACTCTCCTTACTTTTAAAAAAGTCACTTCGTAAATAGAAATTTTATTCTCAGTTATATTTCAAATCTCAACTAGAAGCACTCCTGCACTTAGGAATTCTAAGCTGACACTAGGAATATACTCAAGATTGCTGAAACCCAGGAAAAGCACAAATGTGGTATTTAACAAAGCACACTGGACAATGCGGGATGGGATTCAGGCTGGTTATTTGTTGCAGGATGGCCTGGACAAGCAAACAAGAAACCAGAGTACTTGAGAATAAAAAACTTAGGGGCCGGCCTAGTGGCACAGCGTTTGAGTTTGCAAACTCTACTTCAGCTGCCAGGGGTTTGCCAGTTCGGATCCCAGGTGCAGACCTAAGCACTGCTTATCAAGCCATGCTGTGGCAGGCATCCCACATATAAAGTAGACGAAGATGCACACAGATGTGAGCTCAGAGTCAGTCTTCCTCAGCAATAAGAGGAGGATTGGCAGCAGATGTTAGCTTAGGACGAATCTTCCTCAAAAAAAAAAAGAGAAGAAAAAAAGAAAGAACAAAAAACTTAACTTCTAAATCATGTTGAAACTTTTAGTTGCCGTTCTACATTAAAAGCACATTTAATTACTTTTTCATTTCCTGATATACATTCATGTAATTTAAATTGGAGAGATACAGAAAAGGAAATAGTCTGTGATCCAACATACAGTGGTCCCCCCTTATCTGAAGTTTCGCTGTCTGTGGTTTTAGTTACCCACAGTTAATCATGGTCCAAAAATATTACGTGGAAAATTCTAGAAATAAACAATTCATAAGTTTTAAATCGTGTGCCATTCTGAGTAACATGATGAAGTCTCGCAGTGTCCTATTCCATCCCACCTGGGAAGTGAAACATCCCTTTGTCCAATGTATCTATGCTGTATACGTTACCCACCCCCTACCTCCATTTAGTCACTTAGTAGCCATCTTGGTTATCAGATTGACTGTTGTGGTATCGTAGTGCTTGTGTTCAAATAACCCATTTTACTTAATAATGGCCCCAAAGCACAAGAGTAGTGATGCTGGCAATTTATTACAATATATTATTATAATTGGTCTATTTTATGACTAGTTATTATTGTTAAGCCCTTACTGTGCCTAATTTATAAGTTAAACTTTATCGTAGTATGTACAGTACAGTCACATGACACTTAACGACGGGGATACCTTCTGAGAAATGCATCCTAAGCAATTTCCTCATTTCGTGAACGTTATAGAGTGTACTTACACAAACCTAGATGGTATAGCCTGCCACACACCTAGGCTATATGGTGCTAATCTTATGGGACCACCGTCCTGTAAGCAGTAGGTCATTGACCAAAACATGGTTCTCCCATGCATCACTGTACAGGGTTCAGTACTATCTGCAGTTTCAGGCATCCACTGGGCATCTTGGAACGTATCCCCTGTGGATAATGGGGGAACTACTATATACGCACTCTCTCATATTCCTACCAATTCACAAACTTGTTTATCTTCATCTATTCTCTCATTCTTCTTTTTATGATAGAGTAGCTCTCTTTCTTCTAATCTAAGGCCAATGCACCTGTGCTCTAAACCCTAACCCTTCAAGCCCTCTCAGAAATGTTACTTATACTTTATCCCTTTTCATGCTGTGTCTTCCATCTTTGCCACCAGAATTTAAACATACATAAGTCTATTGTCCTAAGGCAAATAATAAACTTTGACTCCACTTCTCCCTCTACCTACCACCCTCCCTCGCTCCTAACAGCCAAACTCTGAAAGCATTATCTACATTTCCCACCTTCTACTCATTCCTCACTCCATTTCAAACTGCCTCTACCACCCCATTAAAACTACCTCACTCATCCACACATTCAACTGCCTACACAATGTCTCCAACTAACATTCAAAGCCAAAGCCCACGTCAAAAACCAAACTCATAATCTCTTCTTTCAAATTTGTTCCTCCTCCATTGTTCTTTAAAAAAGCTTTAATAAGGTATAATTCATCTATGATTGAACTGCACATATTTGAAGTGTACAGCTGGGTAAGTTTTGACAAATGTATTCACCACTCCTGAGGCAAAACCCTTCTGAGTCTTGTGAATTATGGGATTTTTCCAGTCTGGCTGGTGGGAGTAGGCATATTAATGGCCCTGTGGTGTCGGTCACTGTTTCCTCTAATGCTTTTGAATGGTTCTTTCTTTAGCCTTAAGTAGTTTCCTCACATGAATGCACTGATCAGCTGAATACTAGGAGGATCCTCTGCAGATCTGCAGGCTTCTCTCTCTGTCCAGCCCTCTCCTCTCTGGTACTCTGTCCTGTGAACCAAGCTGCCTTGGTCTCACCAGACTGAGCTGTTTCTTCAACTCAGGGAGTCTGCTGGTCTCCACCTGGGTTCCCCCTCCCTGAACTGCAGTCTAGAAACTCTCAAAGCAGTAAGCTGGGACAATCACAGGGCTCACCTCACTTACTTCCTATCTCTCAGGGATCACTGTCCTTTGTTGCCTGATATCCAGTGTTCTAGAAACCACTGCCTCATATATTTTGTCATTTAAAAAAACTGTTTTAGGTGAGAAGATGAATCTGCTCCCTGATATTCCAGCTCAGCCCAAAATAGAAGTCCTTCCACTGTTCTTTGTATGCCACCGGCCTACATGCTCATGGGAGAAATCTAGGAGACATCCTTGACACTTCCCTCTCCTCTCTCATTTCCCACAGCCAGTCGATATCCTAAATCACTCTCAAAGTCAATGACATCTCTCCCTGTCACTACCAGGACCCTAGTTCTAGGCACCACAGTCTTGGCTATTGCAATGACCTCCTATTTGGTCTCCCTAGTTCTTCTCTTACCCATCTCCAAACCATTCTCTACAGAAAGTGGCCAGAAAGTGAATATTGCTTGCTTAATTCCCTTCAATGACTTTCCAGGGCTCTTAGGATAATGTCCAAAATCCTTAATACAACCAACAAGTCTTACAGGATCCAGTCTTTTTCTATCTCAGCAGTCACTGTCTGAGTTCATCATTATTAGCCTTCTTTCAGTTCTTTGAAGGCATTATGAGCCTTCCCACTACCAGACTTTGCTCATCCCTCTAGAAAGCTCATCTCCCTTCCCTTCACTCAGTTAATTCCTATCATTCTTCACACTTAAATATCTTTTTTTCAGAACTATCCCTGCCCTCTTAACCCCTGACTCACATTGTACTTAAAATAATTTATCAGCAAATAATTATTTAATACCCTATCTACTAAAATGTTAGCTCTATGACAGCAGGAACCATCTCTGTCTTATTTACTGCCAAGTCCTTGGTACCTAGCACAGTACCCTGAAGGTA